CAATCAGTGGCGCAATCAAGCATGCCGCGGCCCCGCAGTTCCCACGCCCGGGCCCCTTTCCCCCCTGCCTGTCTCTCTCCCCCTTTCCTGTCTCCTCGAGTCCGTCCCGGGGTGCCGCGGTGCCGCGACTGCCCGTAGCGCGCCCCCGGTCTCCGTTTGCTGTGGGCGGGCGGGTTTTGACTTGGCTGTGTTCCCTGTTGCAGAGTGACGGTGGCCCCGGGTACCCGGCGCTGGCGTCCAGCGCGCCCCACCCGGGGCCCCATGTCGGCGTGGGAGCGCTTCGGCGTCGAGCTCATCCTCAGCTTCCTGCTCGTGCTCACCTACTGCGGGCCACGGACGGCCACCGGCGGTCGCTGGGCGGCGGCGGCCCCGCCATCGGCGCGGCCTACCTCGCCTGCTCCCCGGTCTCGGGAGTATGCGCTTGATGGCGGCGGAGAGGGCGTAACCTACCACACGTTCGGCGCGGCAAACTCTGCGCAGCCGTTCTCGGAGGCGTGCCGCGTGCCTGTCCTACGGCGAGGGCGTCCTCGGAGCGACCGCACTGCTTTTCCCCGCTGTCTCTCTCGCACATCGACGGCAAGCGCCTTGAGTGCGGGGAGAGACACAACGACGGGAGCAGTGCTCGGCTGACCACGCGCACGGGCCGCTGGTTTGATGCGGGTCTCGTCGGCACGAGCCTACACGAGCCGGCCCCGGGGCCCGGGGGCCCGGGGGGGAGCATGGGGGGAGTGGCGTCCGGCACCACGCCGACGGCACGCCCCGGGGCTACCCTTTGGGCCGTGACGGCGGCAGTGGGCGGGGGGGGGGGGGGGTTGCCCTCAGATTTTGCTTCGTCGGCAGGCAGGCAGGCTGCACGTGAGGAAAAAGAGAGGGGGTGGGGGGGTTTACGTCCCGGCAGTCTCGGCCACCTGCCGCGGTCCCGGGCCCGCGATTGGTGGGCGCGTTCAGCCCCGCTGCACGCCAGCACGGCCTGCACGGCCTGCACGGCTGGAGGGTGGCGGCAGCAACAACAAGAGGAGCTTTTTTGAGGTTTCTTCTTTCGAGCCGTCCCCCCCGTCCTCGTCTACCGCCGCTCCTTATAATACAAAACGGAGCCGATCGGCGTGGCCGCGGGCCCTTAAGGGGGTTCCTTGCCCAACAACAACAACAAGAGACGCTATTTCTGGCAAAAATCCTCCGCAAACCGGGGGTGGCTGGTGCTACGCTACGCAGTGCGACGTCTCGGAGGGAGGGAAGCCCGCCGAAGCTGGGCTTGGCGCGAGGGAGGGGGCCCACCCCCTGCTACGCCACTGGGGACGCCACTGCCGCCTCGTGACGTATGCCGCGCGTTGCGTTGCGTTGCGCGGCGCTTGGCCTGCACGAGGAGGAGCAGGGGGAAGGGCAGGTGCGAGACGGGGCGACGCGGGGACGCGGACCGAGAAAACCCGTCGTGCGCCGGTCGGCCGGTCGGCTGGCCACTGCACCCGCCCGTCTTGTTGTCTCTA